CCCACTAAGAATTTGCATACATATAATAATTGTCTCTATAGGTTCCAGGAGATGGAACCCTCACCGCAAATCTCCGAGATGTTTCAGAAATTCGCCCTTGCTGTCAAGGCTAAGACCTACGAGCTCTTCGCTGAGGATGAAAATCAAGATTCCGTCTCCGCCGCTGACGCTGATGTTATCTCTTTGTTAGACTCTGCGGAGGAGTTCATCCCCGACCAGAAAGTGGTCGTCATCAAGCCTGATAGGGATTATGACCCGGACCCGGATTCTTCCCACCTGACCCGAACCGTAGTTCATTCAATCTTCGCCACCGTCTCTTCTTTCGAAGCCTCGTATTTGCAGTTCCAAACGGCCCATGTTCCCCAAATTGACCAAAACGCCCTTCAACAAGCTGATAAATCGCTCGTCTCAATTCTCCAGAAATTGTCTGAAATGAAGAATATCTATAAGAATTCTAAGAAAACGAGCTCGGGTTTGCCCGGAGATTTTGAGTTTCCTGCTGTGTCATTTTTGGAATTTCAAGTGCAGGAGAATCAGAGCAAGCTCAGGGTTCTGGAGACCATGGTAAATTCATTGCAATCAGAGATTGATGCTAAAGATGATGATGTCTTGGTTTTGAGGAAAAAATTCGACAAAATTCAGGGGTTTAACTTGAATTTATCAAAACAATTGGAGTCGAAAAAGGAAAAAAAGGATTCTGGTACTGATGTTTTATTAACAATTCGAGTTTTTGAGGCTATGTTGAATGATTCGGTTAAATCTTTGCGATGTTTTACAAAGTTGTTGATTGATTTGATGAGAAAAGCAGGATGGGATTTGGAGAAAGCTGCCAATTCCGTTTATTCAGACATTGATTATGCGAAAAAGGGACATTTCCGGTACGCATTTTTGTCATATGTTTGCTTGGGAATGTTTAAGAATTTCGATAAGAATGATTTTGGATTAGGTGATAGTCAAGTAACGTGTAATGGAAATGGTTCAATACATGTTGGAAATAGTACAATTCACAATGGTTATTTGAGAGAATTAATCGAACACGTTTCGAGTAATCCGATGGAAATCTTGAGTAAGAATCCAAAATGTGAGTTTTCGCGGTTTTGTGAGAAGAAATATGAGGAATTGATTCATCCGACTATGGAATCCTCGTTGTTTGATAACTTAGATAGGAAGGAAAAGGTGTTGGATTCATGGAAATCATTGAGCGTAGTTTACGAGTTATTTGTTAGAATGGCGGGCTCTATATGGTTGCTTCATACATTGGCCTATTCGTTTGATCCCGTGGTAGAGATATTTCAGGTCGAGAGAGGTAAAGATTTTTCGATGGTGTACATGGAAGATGTTTTGGGAAAACGTAGTTTTGGGGGAAAGATGAGGCCTCAGGTTGGGTTCACAGTCGTGCCGGGGTTTAAAGTTGGAAGGACTGTGATTCAGTCACAGGTTTATCTCACTGGCTTAAAGTGTACAGAGTAGTGAGATCAATATGTCTTCCTGCTTTCTCTATGCGTATGAGGTTACCGTGAGAGCTCGTTTTCGGGGTCAATTTGTTCGATAGGAGGACTCGAAGACATCGAGCAACAATGTTGTTGGTTGCTGGGCATTGCCATTTGGTACGCTTGCTCTTTTGCTCTCTTGCAAATATTTAGCCATAAGTTCTGTTGGGTGTGTATAATTTCTTGTTTAACAGTCACATGTAATATTGCGTACAAAGCATGTGTTCATTATGACCTTTACTTAGAAAAGCGATGATAAAGAGAGTGCAAATGTAAAACAAAAAACATGTGAAGAGCTAGAAAGGTTATTGTAATGAAAATTATTTCGTTTCAACAAATTATACCCGCAAAATTCCTTACGAAGACTTACAAAGCTGCTTCTTTCTCCATTAATTATAGCAACAAATTTGATGTCCCTCTGCTTACTTTGAAAGCCAGTAGACAATAAGAAAAAGAGTACAAGCAGCAATAATTGCGGACAGGATGAGAGTATCTCTTGATCGTTTTCTACTGATTGAACCTGTGAGGATCGGGAAAGAAATACATGGGAAATCATTTTAACGAAGAAATCTAGAAGTAGATAAATCTTCAGAAATTTACCTATTAAACCGCGAATGACGGGAAATTTTTCACCAAGTAGTTTCACTTTTCCTTGAACATCCCCAAACAAGGATCTTTGAGAACCCAGTGCAGCCCTAGTTGCTTGAGCTTGACTAATCACGTCATCAATCTGTATAGAAGTTAGGTAAAGGGATTAGAGGCATAAAAAACCGACTTGTAAGCTATTTATATAAACAAAAGAACACCAGCCACAACAATAAAAGATCCACAAAAGGCAGTATTCAAGGGACGAAAATCCGTGATGACAATTACTCTGTAGGTATCAGTGCATATTTGTATGCTGGACAGGACAAAACATGACTAGACATGACAAAAAAAACAAAATTTTAGATTTTCTCTCTCTCTCTCTTTCTTTTTTAACATTGTCGAGTATTATCCAATGGAAACACTAAAAAACTAAAAAGGGGATAGAATTATGGCTTTGTTTGTGGCTTTTACTCAGCCAGACAAGAACACGGGGAACCAATGGAAACATACAAGATTAACGTACATGCATAAATTCCCATTTGCATGCAAAAGGGTATTTGAATTCCTCCTCTTTCTCACATGTAAAATCTTTTTGCCTTAAATGCAATACATAATCCAAAAATGGGCTTTATATACAACAATCCTCCAAAGAAAGGCTGTCAACAGACAACAAAGATAAATATCATCCAGGAAGTTGAGTTATTCCCAAAAAGTCGCACACAGGAAGTGGTAATACTGGCTCATCTCTTTACACAATTCTAACAACCATCCATATGTAATGAAGCAGAAAACTTCAACAATCTAAATATCACAAGTTATTAATTCAATAATAAACTTTCTTCAGGGGAGGAAATTTTAACATCGGAGTTTGTTGTGTAAATATACAAAATCATAAGAAACATCATCACTTAGTTAATACTCACTTCAATGTAATAATGCACTATTGCACCATGCAAAGTAAGTGCAATTGATTGAACATAATTTTACATGTCATTGGAGGTAAATTTCACTCAGAACTTGCATTAATCACAGATCCAGGGTCCTGATGAACAAAATTATTTTAGTAAAGTTTTCACCAAGATACCATGAACTTCCCAACTTAGGATTTGAATGTTTGTTTGAATTTTAAAACATCTTAACTTGTTTAGCCAATGGACACTCAACATACATGTTTAAAGTTTCAATTGCATAAATAGCAGAAATTCATAGAAACGGCAAGATTATTTTAGTGCGATTGCCCACGATGTTCAATTGTTGCTGCATTATATTATAACAAATATTCTTTTGAAAATGTAATAATGAGACATTTATTAAAGAGTTGAAGTCTTACATGAGATATGCTTCCATTTATGGCGGCTCTCTCACGCAGCAAATGCACTTTTGGGGACATACTTCCAGATGCCTGCATAGATGCAAAATATAACTTTACAAGACATTAGCAACAAAATTCACCACAATCTCTTGTAAACTATAATTCTACCTTGTACTCGCTGATATCATCTCTCACAGAACTTAGTAGTTCTGCGTGTTCCATCATTGAGTTGGTGTTTCCTTTTATGCGTTTATATTCCTATGGAAGTGTCTGAAGTCAATTCCAGCATAATGAAAATAGAAAACGGATGTCATAATAAACCAATACAACAAGAGGTGCATGAAGGTTTGTCATAAATCACAGAATAACGTGAACAAAGAATGTGCAGAAAAGCTTCACAGTGCCTGTTGAGTCAGTTCGAAAATCTACAATTCTAGTTTATATTTTCTAAGGCAGCAATTCATTTTTTAGGGGAATTCAGTGTTATATATTTATGGTATAAATATAAAATGTGAAAGAAATAATCAAATTAGATAAAGTGCCAAAGTGGTGGGAAATGTGACATTTGTGTGGGACGTCAGGGGTTCGAATCACTCCCCACGCAAATATTAAAATGTCTTGATTTGGGCCTTGGGGCCTTGGGCTCTTGGGCTTCCTTGACTAAAATAAATATTTTTTTTTTTTGGTTATTTAATTGGTAAAACTAGCCAGTATTTTATGACTGTTGGTTTTGTAACAACCCACTAACTGCCATTAAAACACCCACTACTCAGTCATTAAAATTCTGCATTAACATGGTGAAGACTGTTACTACCATCTTGCCTATATAAACCCATGTCTTGCTTTGGGAAAAGACACACAAAAAGAAAATAGAATCAATCACTCTTTTCATATTGTGAACTTCTTATATTCGGGTTTTTATACCTATTCTGGAGTACAATTGAGAGTTCTAGAAAAACCATTCGTGATTGCTGCATAAGTGGTTTACGATCGTTGTATCCTGGGAGTGATTGTCCACGGAGGTCACAGCAATTATTGACGGGCAATTTCACTTTAGGACATCGTGCTGTCACGAGACTCGATCGATAAGTTTTATATTTCTGCATTATATTGTTCTGATCACTACTGCAACTAATTATTTTTCCAACATTCAGGACAGTTGAGTAACCAAAGAAGGATGGACGGGCGAATCCAGGAGTTTGAGTCAGCACGGGCGGCCATTGATCATCTACCGTTGGCCACAATAAAATATTAGAAGTCCTTTTGATATCCATTTTTTTACAAAAAATGCATTTTGGAATGGTGATTTGATGGAGAACATGTAACTAAAAATAAAGAAAAATTTTGAATTTACATGTAATATTATTTTATTGAAGAATGTATAGATCAAAAGAAGAAAAAAATGTAGTTTTAAAAAAGGGGGAACAAGGCCTAAAGTATAAATATAACAATTATTTTTTTCAAGCTAAATATATATAATTCTGTTATAAGACAGTACACGAGCTCGTGGGCCGAGCTACGAGCCGAGCCGAGCCGAGCTCGTGGGTTAACGAATCCCTATCCTTCCCTTATTGAATTTTTGTAAAAATTATAGAATAAAAATAATACATAACAAATCCACTGACAAGGATTCGAACGTAGACTTGAAGTATGCTAAGGCCAACTCTCACCAAGTAAGCTATAGAGGATGTTTGAAAATAAAATCAATTGCCAAAAATATAAGGTAAAAATTTAATCTATTGTTAACCCAAAAAAAATTATTTTGGCGGATCCAAAGCTGGCCGCCCCCTGGATCGCTGGCCGCCCCCTGGATCCGCCACTGAGGAAGGAACCACCAGAAGTTTTCTTATTACAAGTATGTGTGGACGTCTACGATATAGTGCTCTATGCTGCTATTATTTTTCAAAAGTTCTTTTTCATGAGTTAAAAATCTGTGAAAATATCATTCAACCCTCAATCAGATCCAATAGATGAATACTTCTCTTGCATATCAATTTCAGAAATCAGATAATCACTTATCGACGAAGTTTAACATGACAAAAGAGAGACGTGGCATAATTTGAAATCCGAATCAAGTTCGTTTAAGAAGCTGCTCGGTCAATTGAAATTTATTTATTTCTTACGTTTTTATCCCTATCACTATTCCCTGGTGAACACATTACAATCAGAAATTAACTAGCTAAAATACAACAAATGAGAGTAAGTGACCTGGGTAAACTCATGCAAAATGTCCCGGTGCCTTGCAAGCTTTTGAGAAACCGAAGTAGTAGGTGCAGCAGATGCAGCACATCGACTCATAGAGTCATTTATATCCAGTAGCTTCTCAAGCAAGGATTGAATCTCCATTTCCATCGATTTCCATGATCTGCCGGACCCAAGCATTGGTGAAACAGCGTCCACGTTACCTAAACAACAGGTTAATCATTTAGAAAGACAAGCTTCATAGGTAAAAGAAAAGCTCAAAACCTATATGAACCGAGGATCTCTTAATTAATGGAAAACGAGGCAACTTTTTACCGAGAATTTACTGCCGCATGGATGCTCCTTGATAGGAATTCAAAAAGTTAAGGTATAGCGCAAATTTGTTAGGAAGTCTGAATTTGCTATATTTTACAAACTAGGGTTAATTTATGGTCTTGCCATGATGAAAATGTTGCCACGAGAAAAAAAGATCATCAAACTCAGTTTTCAAGCCTAATGAATGGTTGAGAAAGATATAACTGATTAAATTCAACCATAAGCCTTGTATCAACATAATAAGAATACCTTCCCAGTCTATCCTTAGAAAAGCAAGCTTAGAGCTTCAAATAATGAGTACAATAACTCCATACAATTATACAGATGACATAACGGCATATTTGTGAACCAAAAGGACATTGTATAAAATGTTTACTTGGAATAGTAATAATAATTAACTTGAAACCAATGTTTTGAAAAGCACCCATGCATTGACAAATCAGTTGGCACGGTCTGGTTTTGTCATTGCTTGAAAAATCAATTAATCTATATGCTGTGTATTCATGGGAATACCGCATCCTTACTTGAACAAGAACACAAAAAATATAGATAAAATAACTTAAAAGAGGATCCTAGTCTAATATTTTAGCTGTACTACATCTTCCCTGACCAGGCAGTCAAGCGCTAGAAATTCGTCAGATTTTCTATGAAAAGAGCTTCTTGTTTTTCAATCTCAATTCACTTTTGGGTAGAAACATTTGAGGCATTAGTAAACTGTAACTGGTTAGCTTCTATTGCTGCTAAATGTGGCATAGTGATGCTGATTTTCACACATGTTAACCTCATTAGAAGCTTATAATGAATTTCTCCAAGGGACTTAATTTTTGAAGGGGCAGTCATTATCTCAAACCAACACAATAACAGAAGTACGACTAATGTATAGTCAATTTCACCAAGTTTTTCCAAAGAATCACCAGCATAAGCTTCATGATATGGAAGAATCCTCAACTTTCTTGAGAAAGAAAACATAAAAAATAAAAATCTGTCACGTCATCAAGTTTCTGGCACAACATTATTCATCACAAACAGTATGCAAAAAAATCCAGTCACTATAGTCTATAAATTCATTTAACACCCAAACACACAGCATCTCAGACAGATAGAAAAATGCATAGTTTCTCATGTTACAATATTTCTAAAATTACGATATTTCAGAGCAACAAAATTGTAGTTGGGATTTTTTTTATATTAGCTAATGAAACATGTTCAAGCTTATCATCTTCTCATCTCAACACCGTTAAATTTGGATTACCGGCCTTAATGCCGCAAATCCCATTTCATCAAGAGAGAAATTTACAACTGTCTATTCAATGCTCCACTTCCCCGTCATTTGTCGCACAATTCTTTTCACACCGTAGGGGTGAAAAAAGTACTTAAACAGGCGAAAAGCAAAATCAAAGTTTGTATCATTTTAATCTAAATATTTCAATTAACAATCTATGACTAGCCATTACAAAAATTAAAATTCAAATTAAAAAAATCAGAAAATAACAATATATGAAGTACCTCCTTGGGTGAAGCGAGCGCCGAGCTTTGCATAAGATGAGAGCTTAACATCGAGATCGCCTTCGATCTTTCGGGCCTCTTTCCGGAGCTCCTCCCAACCCGACTCCTGTAACATTTCCATGTTCGGATCCCCTGACATTCGGGCCCGACCAAATGTTGCGATTTTGAGTTGATATCCTATACTCCTCTTTTTCTGGTTTGTGGTTTGTGACCGATCCGACAGGTGATACGATTGGCATTTATGGTTTGCCTTGTGGGTCCGGTTACTGGATCCGATTTGTGCCAATGCTGTGATTTTATGAGGGGGTGAGGAAGTCAGTTTTATCACTTGTTTATTTAAAGGATTAGTCTAACTTAATACACTTTCTGTATACTTAATCCTTATATGGAGCGAACCCGCATATAATTACAAGTAGCATCACCTAAACTTGCACTCGAGAAAATTGAAAATAAGTACTGTAATTTTTACTCATGCAAATAGGTCCCTAAGTTTTAGTTTCCTGAGCTAGACCCATGGAAAGTTGTGGCTCATCTTGAAACGAGTTATGAATCGAGTTGAGCTCTTTTTTTTTTTTTTTCATGAACCAATTCGTTGGGCCCGTGGACAAGCTCATTTTTTCTCATTTTTTTAACTTACTTTATTAATTTCTCTTAAAAATTGCTTATTTTGTGCTTATTATATCAAATTTTTATATAAAATAAATGAGTTAGCTTGTGGTTGACTTGACTCAACTCATGAGGGTCACGAGCCAAAGGGAAAAGCCGAATTAAATTTAGGATTTGAACATGAGCCGAGTTCAAGTGTTAAAGGGTTATATTCCTTACATTTTACTTCGTAATTAAGAAGTACATGCAAAGTAGGTAGAGCTCAAGTTAAGGGATGAAATTTGTTGACCTCATTTCTGGTTAGGGCCACGCGGACAACAGATATTGAATCCACTCGCGCACATGTAAGCCAAGTCCTACACGCTAAGACACGCCAACGTTCTAGAACAGTCTCCAAAAGGGCGTGGGAGCAACTCAAAAGAGCAGGACGACAACGGTCAAAATCTAGCGATACACTTGTAGAACGATTGTACAATAATTATCAATCGTAGTTGATGAAAACTATGTAAACTTAGTTATATTTGTAAAATAATAAAATTGGACAAATTGTTTTGTATTTGCTCTAGTATTGAGTTCGGTATGTAAAAATGCATCATCCTTGCAATGGAATCATAGGGGAGTATTTGTAATAGTACAAAATAAATTGTGGTCCTCAGATGGGAGTACACGTGGCCTCATCTTTTTGATCTAGGCGTCTAATTCTAGGCATCACTTTTGACTTGTTAGCCCACTTTACATATATTAAGTAACAAAATCTCCACTTTATTTAACAAGACTTGACACTTAAATTTTATGATAAACGACTCATCAATCATTCGAAGAAGATACTTATGAAGGAAGAGATCTCTCAAAAGTAGTGATAGTGAAAGTCCTTCGCAAGTCATAGCCTCGATTCATGGGCCTTGGAATAAACCATCTCAACAACGTCCTTCAGACTTTAAGGTACTGAGCTCCCGTTGAGGTATTAATTCTGGTTGCATTCCATAGGCCCCAAGGCCTAGGGGCCTTGACAAATGAACCATGTGTCTAGACTTAGATGGGCCAAGGACTACAGTGGATTGGTCACGTGGAGCCATGTGTGACAAGACGTAACATAATTCACAAATAAAAATAAATTTTAAAATAAAAAAGAAAATAAGATAAATTCGCCTTTTCTTTCACACTCTCTGCCAATTTTATTCTAGCCCGCTTCCGTAATCTCCTAAGAAACCACCCTCAGTCCAACTTGTTTGATTTGACCACTTCGCCCCCTTATGGTCTTGGCCACTCTTTCAATCGCTTATTTTTTAGGCCCTTTTTCACGTTGTCCTCTTATTTTTTAGTTTACTTTATCTTTTTTTTAATATATTATTTTTATTCTAATTAAAAATAAAATTATAATCATCTTTGAATAAAAATTTAACATTTTCTAAAAGATAAATAGACAAAAATCGATTAAAGACCATAATGCTACAAACTTGAAATGTTAAAAACTTAAATTTCAAAAAAATTAAAGGCTAATGACTAACTCGTAGAAGAGTCGTAGATGATGAATGCCCTTTTCAATTTTCCATCTTAAATGATAAAAATAGCACCAAACTGAGCTTCAAATTGAATTGTAACTCTTTTTGCTGGACTTCCAATTAAGCATGGCTTTGTTCTGTTGTTGCTCTCTCTACTACATTTTGTGCCCTGACGCAAACATATAATCTAATGGACTTGGAGGAAAATTCTTTTACCACTTTAAATGTCTTCTATTCTATTCTAACAATGACGACAATAATATTTCCATTTGAATTCCACAAATACCCGCAAAAATAGAGTGATATTCTTAGTCTTACCAATCAGACCATCTTGTGTTGAAAAATTTTTAATTTGTCATGCGAGCCTGCATATGTAATTAATTGTGTGTAACATTATTTTAAAGTAAAGTCCAAAATTAAAGTGATCTAATAAAGAATTATATTGTTGGACTTAGGGTATCTAAATAAAGTATGGTATCTAAATAAAGTATGGAGCGACATACATACATACATACATACATATATATATAAAGATCAGATTCCTTTAGAACTGATTTTATAATGGATGAAATGGTCCTTAATTTATATTCAACTTCTTATTTTTTGTGTCATCCTATCAACGCAATACAAGAGAAAGTATACTAAAGAGGAAGATCCAATACACACAATCAAGAATCAAGAATTCAATAATAAAGATTATGGATCAAGCAAAACTAATAACAAAAATTAAATAATCAAAAGAGACAAAATTCAAGATCAAAAGTGAAAAAACCGAAGATGAAAATATTGTAGTTCAAATTTCAAGATTCGGAATCAAAATTTAGTAATAAAGAATCGTTCTCAAAGAATTAATGTATGTTCCACATTTCATAATTCTCTTAATGGTTTGACATAAATGATCTTGGCAATAAAGGAATTAAGATTTTCAAGTTTTAAAGTTTCTAATTTTATAAAGTCTAAAATTTAAAGTTTCAACAAGTAGTATCAAAGTCGACTCCATGTTAAACCATTAAGATTCAAAAATGTATTTTAGGGATGAAATTTGTATATGTGGTTTTGCAATTCTTTAGTTCTAGGTGCAAATTTTTGTCCTAAATTTTGAATTTTGTTGTAAAAGGAAAGTTTATTAGGATTTAGAGGTGAATGACAGTTACACCCCTGCAGCCCTAGATATAATTACTGTTGTATCCTTGATTTTGCCCTATAAATACAGGGCTTTGGTTCATAATAAAATACACAAAAGTCTTTTGACTTCTCTCTGTTCTCTTCTATTTTCTTCACTTTTATAACACGTTATCAGCACAATAACTTAATTTTTCAAAATTTAGTGAATGTAATAATTCTTATAGGTATGAATATTTATCATGTGTACCAAAATTAATTTGTTAACATGTGAACTATTTCAATATACATATGCATCATAACGAGATTGCTTATTCTTCTCTACTTTTCATCGGCATGCATATTAATTCTAGTTCACGTTTGTATTTGTAATCTGAACACATATTAATTTACTTTTTTTTATTCATACATGATAATTTTTTCCACATATTATTCAGTATTAATTTTGTCTTTTGAATATATTACAAATTTGTTCTATCTTTAATTTCTAGGTATGTGAAATTCACATGTATGTTTAGTATCTTTTGCATGTTGGTAAAAGATTTAACCAATAAGTGACTTAGCTCATTTTGTTAACTTCTATGTATGGAGATTCTTTTTCCCAATACATGTTTGGTAATCAATTTTAAAATATAAATTCATATATTATCTATTTGGTAATTAATTTTTACATCATATCCTGTTTGTATGGTAATTAAATATTCTTTTCACATGCATGCTTGGAAGATTTTTTTCTTTACTTGTACATTTTTTGTGATTAATTCTTATATGTAAGTTCATACCATGTCTATATGGTAATTAAATATTTTAGATGTTCTTATATAAACTTTAACTTAACAATTTATCATGTTGTTGCTCCTGAAGTAGCACAACATTATAATTAATATTCTAGAAACATATTCTCCTGTAATGGATATTATCATTTTTAGATTTTTAATTAGTTTGACTGTCACAAAAGCTTGATATGCGCAAAAGCTTGATATGGCCTTTATGGATATAGTAATTGCATATTTGTATGGTTCACTTGACAGTGACAAGTAGTTCAAGGTTTCTCACAAAGACCAGGAATTGATTATTAGGAAACATATTCTCCCGCAATAGACACCATCACTTTTAGAATCTTAATTAGTTTGGCTGCATCACAAAAGCTTGATATGGCCTTATAGATGTAATAACTGTAAATTTGTATATATATATATATATATATATATATATGAAAGTCCCTGAAAGACTCAAGGTGCTAAGAACAAACGACACATGCCCGAGAATCATGTTCTCAATTAAATTGCATGAAGAGTTCAACAAAACTGTTGATTATGAAAAATGAATTTGAGATGAAGGATTTGAGAAAAAATCAAATTTTGTCTTAAATTGCAGATTGAATATTTCGCAGATGAATTATTTGTTCACCAATTTACGTACACAGAAAAAGTTTTAAAATGTTTTTATATGAATAATGCATATCCATTGGCATCACCTATAATTGTTTAATCGTTTGATGTGAAAAAAGATCAATTTCATCCACTTAAAGATGGAGAAAAAATTATTGGTCCTCAGGTACCATATCTTAATGCAATTAGAGTATTAACTTATCTTGTAAATTGTACTCGACCCGACATAGCTTCTTCTATAAATCTCCTCGCAAGATATAGCTCTATACCAACTCAAAGGCATTGTAATAGTCTTAAACATATTTTTCGTTACTTAAAGGGTATTATTGATTTGGGATTATTTTATTCTCAAAATGTGGGATCTGTTTTAATGGGATATGCAGATGCAGGTTATCTATCTGACCTACATAACGCTAAATCACAAACAAGTTATGTAACGCCCCACCCGCAAGGACCGAAACGTCGCAAGATTAATGTACTTTTAGCCGTAAACTTAAAAAAAAAAGCTAAACTTTTAGATGAAATTATAAAGATTTAATTTAAGAATAATTTTTTTTAAAAGAACAATAAATGACAACATAACTCAAAAGATAGCTAAAGTATAATTCAGATTTTTAGTCTCATTTGATAGCTATCCAACTTTTAGATGAATTATTATTATTTTTTTGCGCAGTAAGTTT